TAAAAACCTTCCTTTAACATGTCCACTCTCAAGCTACCTGTTTATTTCTGTCCAATCACTTCCAAAACATTGTAACATCCCATTTTACCCCCAAACGCATTGCATGAACAAGCTTTGGCCTCTACCATGTGAGTGGTTCAAAGGCCATCAATGATTTATTAAATTACCTAATTCAGTCTTCTCAGTTTAGTTTTCATTCTGTTAAATTCTTGACCACTCTTTTCCCATATTTCTTTCCAGATGTTCAACTGGCTGGTCAGAGGCTAGCGGGGACAGCTTGTTTTAACTAGTAATTAAAATTTAAAGAATTCAGTGTTACTCTTCAAGTAAATGAGAAGTAAGATTCTTAATTTCAGTAATTGCCTAATAAAAATAGACAATTGTTATTGTTTACTATGAACCTGTTTAAGGTGCTGTATATTACCCAAAGAGAAGAATATGAACTGTTTTCTCTTGAAATGCAGACAATTTTATTGAGCGGGTGAGACTCAAGTTAATGAAACTATTGTAGTTTTAAAAATTATTAAAGATTAAAAATAAACCCATTCTATATTATTTGGTACAAAGTCTACAAGTAAAGCTAAATATTCAGATAAGAAAAATATTTCTGGGAAAATACAAAGCGTGTATTTTATTAAACCTTAGAGACATAAGACTCAAATCAGAAAGGTGGGATGGGAAGGATAGTCCAACCAGAGGTACTTGTACCAGCCAAGATAAAGAGCTTCATTTCTTGATAGATTTCTCTGTTTCCTGGCTTCTTTAACCTCCTTCTCTATACTGTGTTTCCTTTAGTCTTTCCCTGCCTGTATTGGTCAACATACTTCCCACTGTAATGATTCCTAAGTATTAGGGTTAGATGTAGAATGTTTCCCAAAAGTCTCCTGTGTTCAGAGGGTGGCTTTGGACGGTGATTGGATCATGAGGGAGCTATAGTCACTGGCAGCTTAATCCGCTGATGAATGCATAGCTGACTGTGCTGTTAGGAAGTGGGCCCTGGTTGGAAGAGCTGGGGCGCTGGAGGGCTAAGCTGGAATAGGACAGCTCCCTCCTCATCTCCTCCCTTCACTCTTTCAGCTTCCTGGCCACCATGATGCGAGCAGCTTTCCTCTACCAGACCCTTCTGCCATGCCCTTCCTGCCAGTTGATGATGGACTAAATCCTCCAAAACCTTTGGACCAAAATAAGCCTCTCTTCCTTTAAGTCATAGGAGTCAGGTATTGTGACTCAGTGACAAAGACAGACAAAGACATCTAAATTACAGTGGGGTTGGGTCTGAAGATGGACAATCTAATCAACATCTTGCCCAGTAGTTTTCTAAGTTGTCCAGAAAAGCCCCTTTTCAGAGGAATCTCCATAACGACTGATCATTTAAAAACCATTCAAAAATCACCAAATCATGTGCACATAGAAGCATGGCCAGTGACTCACTTTGCCACTGGACTAGCACAGTTACTCCTCTATGAAATCATCTTTAAGCTCCTAGATTTTTACAACCAAGATCCCTTTCATCTGGAGTCAGCCTTGCAGAGTGACTTGTCTAGCCACTATTTTTCTAAATGGACTCAAGGACAATTCCCATTTATCAACTAAGTGAGTTACTTTCAAACTGAAGTTCAGGCCTCAAGCTCTTGTACCCTCTCTCTCTCCAACAGAGAAAAGCTATAGGAAACTGGATGGCATTACTGCAGCTTAATGTATTGCCTAGTACAGTGTAGATCTAAAGCTTGCTTTATTTAATCAGTACCTCTTTATTGAGCAATGTATTCTAAAGGAATTAGAAAATAAAAATAATCCACTTTAAAAAAATCAAGATAAGGTATCTCATGAAAATGCTATTATATCAACTCTATCCTATATCGAAAGTTACGAAAAAGTAGAACAGGGCTACAAATAGCCTGGAATGGCAGATCAGCTATACTTGGAACATTGAAAATGTATTTCATAATCATCCAAAGTTTGGGTAATGGTTCATGCTTGGACCAACTATTGTTCCTTTCTCAATAAAACTGAAAAAAAGCTAAGACTTTCTAATGTTATTTCTCTCTCTTACCTCTGCTAACAGCAACTCAATAATTAATGGCTCTTGGGAGAATGCTACTTTGCTTTCCATGGAGAGTCTCACAGGACTTTATAGAGTAAGAGACTAAGATGTCAGTGCTTCCTAATTAGAGAGATTTTGTATCTATTGATCATCATGGAGATAAAATCTACCCTCGTTTCCAAGGAGAAATTGCAGCACATGACAGGTGACACCTGTGCTGTGACTGAAAATGCTTTTCTATTGCGTGTCCAATTTAAAGAAGAAAGTGCGTTTCTTCATCCGGGCATACGTCCTTCACTTAGGGTTGTTAAAGGACAACCTCAAGGTTCTAAATTTGAAGCTTAATATATGGTCTAAGACAGTGACATCATTTTCTAATGCACATCGATGCATATTATACTGTACTATATTATATTATATCACTCTATTTCTGTAGAAACTATTTAAAATCTATGTTGGTTAGGATTTTTTTCCCTGAAAAGCACTACTATATAGGTGTGAATTTTGGGTTATGGTAAAAAGTAATATTTAAATGCCAGCATTAAAAGGTAAGAAAAGACTAGTTCATAGTAATCATCCTGTAGATGGGACCAATTTAAGGTATTGGATCCTAGCACATTGTTGTCTGATAAAGTAAGGATTTCTGTCAGATGGCCAAGCTCTGCCCAGAGTGGGGTACATGGTAGAGTAGAAGTCTCAGTGTGTTGGTTTTATACTGGCCTCTGCTGTCCTGACCTTGGGCATGTCATTTGTACATTTAGGAAGTAAAACCATAGCATTGAATTTTTAAAGCAACTTCTTAAAAATTGGGACAAAACACATATACACAAAATTTAATAGCTTAATCACACAGTGGCATTAAGTACATCCACACAGTGGTGGCTATCACTGCCCTTTTTCCACAGAGCCCTTCATCTTGCAAAACTCTTTTCATCTTGTAATATTTATTAACCAATCACTCTTCATTCCTCCTCCTCCTAGCTGCTGGCAACCACCACCCACTTTCCATGCAAATTTGACAACACTAGTCCAATCATACACTTGTCCTTTTATGGCTGGTTTATTCTGTTAAGCATTAAGTCATCAATTTTCATCCATATTGTACCGTGTGTCTGAATGTCTTTTCTTTACAAGGCTGAATAACACCCCATTATATTTATATACCACATTTTTACTCATTCACCAACTGATGGACACTTGGTTGCTTCCATCTTTTGCCTCTTGTGAACAAAGCCGCTGTGAATATGGGTATCCAAATATGTTTTTCCCATTTTCAGTTTTTATTCTTCCAAGTTTTCCATGTGTTTGACAGTATTTCATGATGAAGTTTTAAAATATTTTTACAAAATTAAAATATGTAACCATTCCAAATATCCTTTTGAATGCCCGCTTTCAAGTCTTTGGAGTGCATACTCGAAAGTGGAATTGCTGGATTACAATTCTATTTTTATTTTTAACTTTTAGAGAGCTATTATACTGTTTTCCACAGCACTGGCATGATTTTGCATTTCCAGGAATGGATATTCTTAAATGTCCCCTTCCACATCTAAAGTTCTAGGACCCAATACTTGTTTATCAATAATCTCCTTAGGCTTTTTCTCTTGACCTAGAAATCCTGTTCACTACAGGAAAATGCCCAAATGATTTTTTTATACCAGAATACTTTCTCTAACTACCTTTTCTCCCACACTTAAGCTATATGCCCTCGTGGCACCCTGATTCACCAGCGTCACACCTAATCATACCCTTAATTTATTATTTTTCTCTAGGATATTAGTTCCTGGGAGCAGAGATTATATGTATCAGTACTTGATGCAGAATTATCAAATGTTGAATGAATGTATGGATCAGAACAAAACTGGGCCAAACAGTCTCAAATGAGGAAGTGGATAAAATAGTAAAATTGGAAAATAATTTGTCCGGTAATGTGAACTATTTTCCTTGAGAGAGGGAGACTCGAACAATAATACTAAGCATAATAATACTAGCTAATATAGCGCTATCTTAATGTGCTAGGGTGGAATTTTTTCACCGAGGCCATGCTGAGAAACATCTGACTTATGGTTCTTGGCACTGGCAGAGGATAGATTGTACCTGGTTGCTCGGTATCTATCAGTACGGAAGGTGAAGCACACTCACGCTCACCCATGCTGAGCCCGGAATGGATCTTCTCCACCAGCTCCAGAGGTGGAGGAAGAGACTTTTGTGGTCAAGAGCACGGGCCTTGTCTCCGATGATTAAGTTGACTTTCAAACGAGACAAGAAGCAGTTCCCGAGTCAGGTGCAAGAGGGCTGCATCTCAGATCTGGAGAACCCAGAGGAGAGCTCGTCCCACGCCCACAGAAGGTCCTCTGAAGCCAGGGCCGCTTCAGTAAGTTGTTCCATCCCACGCTAAATAAGAGGCCCAGGATGGCAACGCTCCTGGCCAGCACCCTCCTGCCAGCTGCGCCTGCCCCCCTCGCAAACGCTCCCTTTGGGTCAGTTTTGCGCCATCGGGGATAGAGGAAGCCCAGAGATCCCAGGAGCGGAAGGTGCTGTCCCTCCGCCCAGTAGAAAGAGGGCGAGGGCCGATCCCGTCCGTCGGCGGGGCGGGGACCCGGAGCGCTCACCTGCTCGGGCCCGCGGTGTGCGGTTGGGACTGGCACGGCGGGCGGCGCGCTGAGCGGGGACCCAGAGACGGCTGCGACCACCTGGCGGGGCTTGTGTCCACCGAGCCCGGGCTGCCAGGTGAGCTGCGATGCGGACGCGGCGGACGGCGGACAGCGGGCAAGGCGCGTGGCACCCGGAGTTTAGCCTGGAGAAGCAGCAGCCCCTACAGTTTCTTCCGCGGGAGAGGCAGTAGGTGCTGGCCGTATCCCGGTGGAGAGGAGAGAGAGAGAGAGAGAGAGAGAGAGAGAGAGAGAGAGAGAGAGAGAGAGAGAGTGTGTGTGTGTGTGTTGCATCTGGGAAACAAAAAACCAGGACCCAGGGAGACAACTCAGGGAGTCCCGGACAAGGTTTGGAGTACCTGTCACATCTTATTTTCTTTTCACGAGGAAGTGGTGTCCCTTTTTCTTTTTCTTTTCCTTTTCTTTTTAAATTTAATTTCGGGGAAGGGGCAGAGGTTACTTTTGGGAACAAGCAGTGTTCATCTTTGACTCAGATGGATCGCCCCCTCCAAGATGCACTCATGGTTCGGCCCTGTGGGGTTCTGGGTCTGAGGGTGTCAGAAGGTTTGGAGGCACTGACGCAGGCCCCTGCTCTCAGGATGCAAACCGACGGAAACTTTCCTTCTGAAATGCCCTTTGCAGTCTATGGCTATACCACCCTGAACACACCCGATCTCGTCTGAAATGCTCTTTGGAGTGCTGCTTCATTTCGTTTCTCGGAATTTAGCACACTAGCTTGGTATTGTCTCTGAATCTCCAAATTGTATATAAAAGTGGTCCTGCAAGCCTGTAATTCCAGCACTAGGAAGCTGAGGCGGGGGGGCGGGGGTCACAAGTTATAGCCCGGCCCGGGTGACTTAGTAACTAAGTGAGACCTTGTCTCAAATTAAAAGCAAGCAAGCAAGCAGGCTGGGGAGGTAGCTCAGTGTGAAGGCCCTGGGTTCAATCTCCAGCCACTGGGGAAAAAAGTGGGTTTATACATTCATTCCTTTGAGGAGGCTGCCCATCGATTTAGTTGATTCTCCCAAAGACTAAATAACTAAAACCACAGCTTTGGGGTTCATCGACATGCAAGTCTTAATAGAAGTCTTAGCAGTCTTGCAGCTGAGTTACAGATTCTTATTTGAAAGGGGATTGAGAGAAGAGCTGAGAGGCATCTAGAAGGGTTGGGGAGAGGATTTCTTCTGTGTCACAAAAGGACAGCACTCAGCCCTGCCACAGATTTTCCAGGATAAGTATCGTCTGTTTCCGCCTGAAAGGAACCAGGTGAGTTTGCACATATGTGACTAGAAAACCAAGGGGCATCTTTGTGAATGAAAGAAAGTTCATAGTTTCTCCATAGATGCAGCACTTCTGGTGACCGTTTGGAGAAGGCGGAGCACGTAGAGGGTGTTTACCTCCAGAGTCCATCAGCAGTCTGGGATAAGGAGGAGAGAGCTGGCTGTGAATCCGGCAGTGGAACAGCAACTGAAATGCCCAGGGTGAGAGGGGAGAAGAAGGCAGCTGCAGGGATTGGCTAAGGAGTTTATTGCAAGCTAATGACTGGCCTAGAAGAATCACGTGTCTTGTTATCCCACTAAATAGGTGCACATACTTTGTGGAGATAAATAAGTGGTATGCAAAGAATGATCAAAAATGCACTGTTTACATTTCAAAAAACTTATTACAATGATTGACAGTGCCAAGAACGATAGGATAAGTGTGTTCCAAGGGAAGGCAAGTGTTTTGAGTATTTCGAGGAGGATTAATAACAATGTGTCTCTTACAGCAATGAATTTTTTACATAAACATTCACTATAGGTTTCGATCACCTCTCCTATGCTGCCCTTCAAATGGTTCTGTTTCTGATCCTGCCTTCTTTCCGCATAGATTCTCAAAATCCAGACCTCTGAGGTTCATGGATGAGCTGGCATTAAGATAGCAGTCTTCAAGCTGGGTGTTCCCAAACACTGCCATCCTGCAGCCAGCCTCAAACAATCGCAGCCTTTTCTCAATTTCAGGGGGAAAACAAAAAAGAGATTCGATTTTTTTTTTCATTGTAAAATCATCCCATACCTTTGGTACTTGCTTTTATTCCTGTGACATCTAGATTGGGTCACACTTACATATTTGGTAAAGTTGAAGCTTGCTTGCTATATCTTCATTTCCAGTTCATAAAGAGCATGTTAGTTCTAAGTAGTCCGACATACTCTCCTTGAGTTTGGGAACCACTACTGTGGTAAAAGATTGGAAATACACCCGGGGCTGTGCCACAGCATTGTTTAATATTCTCTGGGTTTAATAGATTTGTTCGTGAACTCTTTGGCTCACTGGGTCACGAGAGGGAGTTTGCACAGAATCCCAGGACGAGGGAGGAAAGAAAGCTCCTTACTCTACCTTCTCTGCACACATTGGTTTTTGTGTTTTGTTTTGAACATCACACATATTTTGTAAACTCAGACTGTACTTTTGGTGAGGTTATGGAAGAGAGCTTAGCTTCCTTAGTCAGCTCCTCTTCCCTTAGGATTGGTGAGAAGGCCTCCATTAAATTCCATGCTGAACTGTTGTACTTCAAAACAGTAAGGTGGTTGTTTCTGCCTATAACTTGCCTTGTCTTGATATGATTATTTTTAAAATGTCCCCAAAACATAGCCGGGGGTTATTTGGCAATGGCATGAGTTGTAGGTGTGCTCCATACTTTATTTTTTTTTAAAACCTCTGTTTTGTTTTGGGTAGTAGTTAATGATTGCTGGCCCCTTCAGCTCAGGAGAAGTTTTGCTGATGTTATTGATTGTTCTTTAATGTATTGAGTAAAAATTCCTTGAGCGCCTTCTCTATGTTGCCCTCTGGAATAGGTATGAGGTGACTTATGCTTCTGCTTTCAAGGAACTGACAGACAAGCAATTCAGATGTGAATTCTGTCTGCTTCTCCCTCTCTCTTACTTCTGTTGAGTCAGGTTCCAATTAGAATGAGACATTCTGAAGATTCTTATGGTTATTAGCAAAATGATCTTTGCACCTTTGCTCCAGAAACAACCTGAGCAAGTTATTAGCCTTGTTGCACCCTGAGAACTGACTTTGGGAGGTAGGGACTTCAGGGACCCCTTGGTCATGACCATCTCCTTTCAGGTGGGAGTTACTGTCTGCTTTTCCTGCTTGAGCCCATGTAAGGCATCTGGGCATAGGAGAAGCTGCCCATTGTGGCTTCCTGGCCTCAGTTCAGCCTCGAGGGGCAGTAGGGCTGCTGGTTAGCAGTTAGTTCTGTGAATAGCACTCTAGGCAGACTAAGTTAATCAGAGATGAAGGGGCCTTCACTTTCATGGGTAAGATGGGGCCCAGGGAGAGCCAGCGTCTCCCTTGAGGATCCTAATAGCCTCCCAAGGACAGGTTCCACGTGGTGGGGCTATTTGTCCCCCAATTCAAACTGAATAAAAGTAACAAATCTGGAAATGCTTTCTGATCTACACCCTGCATAAACAAGGATATGTGAGGCCAGTCAACAGGGGAGGATTCTACTAATTTTGGATTTGTTCAGGGGCCTAGTCTGACATGCCTCCACACACCTCTTAGCAAATGCTTGATGGTGTAGACTTAGTATGAGATAATGGTGATAATGACAGCGAGGCGAGCACTGATGTCACTTACCCGGCAGCCAGGCACCTTCTGAAACCCCATGTTTAAAGCATTCAAGTCATTTGACCTCTCCCAAGTCAAACAAGTCGGTTCTGTTGTTATTGACAATTAGTCCTGGGTCACAGATTACAACGTATGATTTATTGCGCTCTTCTGGGATCATGTCTAACTCATCTTCCTCAATAGGGGACACTTACAATTTCTCTCTTGCCTACTTATTGTGAGAGGCAGCCCAGCCCTGCAGCCAACCTGACCCAGCCGGTACCCTGCTGCACCACTAACCAGCAGCAACATCACTGCCTTCCTCACTCCTCAAATTCCTGATCTGTAAAATGTGAACAATCATAGTGCTACCTCATTAATTGTGAGAATTAAATGAATTTATAGAACTAAGACACTTAGAGTAGTGCATTGTACACGGGAAGTATGATTATTTTCTTACTAGCTATTTGTTTCTTTCCAGCTTCTCCCAATGTCCTCTAATGTAGGGGCCATGGTGGGAAACATTGATCGGGGACTGCCTGAACTCTATAATGTCTCAGGGCCTTTGCACCTCGTGTCCCCTTTACATAGAATACCACCTTCCCTTTCCTCAGTTAGAAAAATCATTTCTTTTAATGCTAAGATCAGCTTAAATGTTCCCTCCTCAATGACTTTCTGTTAGTGCCCCCTCTTGTTCCCTGGGTAACAGTTTTCTCCTTTATTTGTGATCTCAGTAGCTTTCCAACATTCATTTATCAAACTATTTACTAACAACCACCTAACCTTTATTGAGTACTTATTATGTGCTCAGGAGTATGCCAAGTGTCATTCTTGCTATTTTAAACAATATGTTGAAGGCTCCATGAAACAGGGTTGTATTTTGTTAAAATAATTTTATCTGTCTGCCTCCCCCAATAGACTTTAATAGTGGGTTGTACATCTGTGTGTGTTACTCATTTTGTATCTCTAGGACCTGGCAGAGTGCCTAATTAATACACAGGGGGTGCTCCATAAATGTGTAAGTGAATGCATTTTACCAACAGCTATTTGCTTCCAAATAATAGGCTAGTTATAAGTAACTCTTCTTTTAAATAATCTTCATAGTTTATTCACTGCAGAAATTTACTATCAAAATTTCAGAAAAGATTGAGAAACAAGAAGGAAGTTAAAATTGCACTGCCCCCAGCCCTAAAGAGTTTTTGCAGCTTGCTTAGGAATACAGCACTACTAAATGGCTAAACCGAACATCAGCATGGGTACATCTGACTTTAGAGCCCGAAACTTAACTGCTGGATTATACTGCTGATCCCACCTCCAAAGACACACACACACACACACACACACACACACTCCTACACAAACAAATTATACTAGCTTTTAAAACAGATTGGAAGAGCTAAAATCTGAAATTAAACCGACTACACATACCGTATTGCAATACATGAAATCTACACTTAAAAATTCATAGTATTCAGGGCTGGGGATTCAGGCCAGTGGTAGTAGAGCACTTGCCCAGCATGTGGAAGGCCCTGAGTTCCATCCTCAGTGCATGCAAAGAAAATCATAGTATCCAATCTTTTCAAGACTTCATACTTCCTGTTCTCACAGTCATTTAGGTTCGTGCTGGTAAAAATCAACAAAATATAGACTGAAAGAGAGAGAGAGAGAAAGAGAGAGAGAGTGCTCAGAGCAGTAAGGTAGAAGGGGATCAGCTTCTAAGTCAGACAGATGTGGGTTTGGATCCCAGCTAAGCCACTTGATGTGTTACCAGGAACCTGCTGCAAAACTTCTCTCAGCTGTCTGTAGTCTCTTCTGTAAGACAGAGATAATACAGAACACTCTGCAGCATTTTGTAAAGTTTAGAGGTAACAAGATGGTGATGTCCATCAGGCTTGATTAATGACAGGTCTCTTTACTGCTAAGTCTCTAGTGATAGAGCAGTGATGCCCCGTGACTCCCTGAACAGTAATCTTGATGAATTGTTTTACACAGCTACACATGGCTTTTCCCCCAATCCTTCAGTTTAATTCTCCTAGCAATTTAACTTTTATATTATTACTAGATGCCTTTAGTAACTAGCCACACAGTCATTTTCTTAGAAATTCAAGCTTCTCTCTACAGGGTCCCTCTTGAGATAAAGAGAAAGAAGTGGCGAATTTAGGATGTTAGAGCAATTTTCATTTAAAAGTCAATCGTTGTTTTCATTCCCCTATCATTAATGTTTTCTCTCTTCCTTTATCAGGGAGTTACTTCTCATTGGATTCCTATTGCCAAACGGAACTCTCCTGTTTTATTGCAAAATGAAAGGAGGAGGCAACTATGAATGAGCCACTAGACAGTTTAGCAAATGCTTCTGATTTCCTCGATTATACAGCTGCTTTTGGAAATTGCACTGATGAAAAAATCCCATTCAAGATGCACTACCTCCCCATTGTTTATAGCATCATTTTCATCGTGGGCTTCCCAGGGAATGCAGTGGTGATTTCCACTTACATTTTCAAAATGCGCCCCTGGAAAAGCAGCACCATCATCATGCTGAACCTGGCCTGCACTGACCTGCTGTATCTAACCAGCCTCCCTTTCTTGATTCACTACTATGCCAGTGGTGAAAACTGGATCTTTGGGGATTTTATGTGCAAGTTCATCCGCTTCGGCTTCCACTTTAACCTGTACAGCAGCATCCTCTTCCTCACTTGTTTCAGCATCTTCCGCTACCTTGTGATCATTCACCCAATGACCTGCTTTTCCATTCACAAAACTCGATGGACAGTGGCAGCCTGTGCTGTGGTGTGGATCATTTCCTTGGTGGCTGTCATGCCCATGACCTTCCTGATCACATCGACCACCAGGACCAACAGATCCGCCTGTCTTGACCTCACCAGTTCGGATGACCTCGCTACTATCAAATGGTACAATCTAATTTTGACTGCAACCACTTTCTGCCTCCCCTTGGTGATAGTGACGCTTTGCTATACAACCATTATCAACACCCTAACCCATGGGCCTCAGACTCACAGCTGCCTTAAGCAGAAAGCCCGAAGGCTGACCATTCTGCTACTCATTGTATTCTACATATGTTTTTTACCCTTCCATATCTTGAGGGTCATTCGGATTGAATCTCGCCTGCTTTCCATCAGCTGCTCCATCGAGAATCACATCCATGAAGCTTACATCATTTCTAGACCATTAGCTGCCCTGAACACCTTCGGGAACCTGCTACTCTACGTGGTGGTCAGCAACAACTTCCAGCAGGCCATCTGCTCATCAGTGAGAGGCAAGCCTAGTGGAGACCTTGAACAATCAAAGAAAGTCAGTGGCTCAATCAACCCTTAAAATACTCCACTTACTCAAATAGAAAAGGCTGTTGATTCTTTATCTGTCATTGCTAACACGTCCAGACTGCTTCCCTCAATGGAATTCCTAGCAAATACTGTGAATTTAGGTTATTCTATGCCAAAGCCAAGGGAGAGGCTACTAGTTCTTTGCAAATGTTTGTTGAGTTCCTCCTGTGGTAGAAATAAGAATAAGATGCTTATCAGTAAAGTATTCGAGCATACAATTACCAACTATTGGAACTCAGGGCATCTGTTTCTGCCAACTTGCATGGAAACTAAAGTTCACACACTAAAGTTCACAGATCACTGATGGCAAACCTTTTAGAGACAGAGTGCTCAAACTGCGACCCAAAATGCACTTACTAATCGCAAAGTGCCAACGCTACAATTAAACGCGAATGCTGAGGTTTTAGTTTAGAGAAAACAGCTCCTATATTAACATCTTTTGTCTTAAAAGAAAAACACAGTAATAGAGCTCACAGTGATACAAACAATTTTTTATTGAAAGGTAAAAGTTTCCACTTGGCGCCCTTTTGCACAAGCAATGTGACCTTTGCTGTTGCACACATGCTGATAATTCCTCAGACCTTGGCTACGGTGAGTCGGCTCCTGTGCTGACAGAGAGGGAGAGCTCTGTGCCCCTGGGGCAGCACGCATGCCATAGGTTTGCCATCACTGCCCTAGGTCTTCCACCAAATTAGTGCCAAGGTAGAACCCCCCCAAAATAATTTTCTTTATCCAGTCTCCAGTTGATGGGCAATTGGGCTGTTTCCAAGTTTCAGCTGTTACAAACTGTGTGTGTACTACTCAGCCATAAAGAATGAGAAACTAGAGACATTTATAGACAAGTGGATGCACCTCGAGACCATACTCTTAAGTGAAATAAATAGGACACACGTGTAAATACTGAATAGTTTCTCTGGTGTGAGAGACTGAAAGTGTAAGAATCAAAATGTATAACTGATAGTGTGAAATAGGAAGAAAATGTTTAAAGGAGTAGGGGAAGTGGGAGGGGAAGGGGAAAGGAAAGAAGGGAAAAGAAAAAATATGAGAAAAGGAAAAAATGGAAACAAAGTCTTTGTAAATAGAGAGGGGTGGAGAGGGTGATTGGAGGGCAGGGGAAGGGGAAAAATAAGAACCAAGATACTCATGTAAAGGTACAAGATCCCAATGATGAGTGTAACTGTACTGTATACCTAAAGTGTACCAATAAACTAAACGGGAAAAAAATCTTTTCCCTCCTACTTTCATGAGCTTTCATGCTCTGCGGCGAATTCCCACTGAACCTCTAGACTATTATTCAAAGCATTATTTGTATCTTTTTCTATATTTTATGTTTATAGCTTATACCTTTACCATGTTTTTTCCTTCAGATCTTGCATTGAAATGATTGAACTGGGCTTTAATCAGTTTTGTAGGTTGAAGAAAGCCAATACCTCAGGGATGTCAATGCAAATAGCTGCAACACTAGTTCTGTTTAGATATCTTGCTTTTTATGACTACAGTGTAAATATATCTATTGAAACATCTATAGTTATTCTTGAATTATCAGTTTGCTTAATTGTCAGTAAGTATAAATATTTGAGAATATAGTCTAGATAATTAGGGTTCTAGTAAATATGTTGTTATAATGAATAAACTTAGTTTTAAAAATCGCTGAATCAGTTGGTCATATTTTTTTCTGAGAAAATGTTTTGCCACTATTATATTAACATGAAACTTATTTTCTCCATGGATGGAGAACAAAACTACTTGACAAATCATTATAGAATGAGGCTGGAATTGATGACTTCATCAAAGGAATGGGCATCATAGGAATTCTTTATGACTTTCAGAGTTCTCTAGGACATTGCATCTGACTTGGCCCTAAGTGAGGATGCTCCTCCGGAGCCTCTGTCAGACGTGTGGGGAGATGTGGAAGAAGAAAGAGGAAAGCTAATGGCTGTGAACACGAGCTTCCCTGCAGCATCATGGTCTTCTCTAGCCACCTTTATAGCTGTCCTCTCTTCAGCTTCTGTAACGTGGAGGGTAAGGTACTTCCCTCCAAAATCATGACTTGTCCACCCGTGCCATCTGCACAGTGTGGAGGAGGCTTTGGAGGTCCACCTGGGACCTGGGCAGCTCTTTGGCTCCTCTCTTCTCTCTGTCTCATGCCCAGGGCAGCCCTGGGGCATTGCTAAAATGCTGCCAGATGAGTCTTTATACTACGCTGTGTTATTCTAGCCCTGGACACATGTCTTTCCTTTCTCTCTATCCCTATTTCTTCATGTCTATTTCTTCTCCCGGCAGAAAAAAAAGCCACCTCAACTTCCTTTCTGTCCAACTCAACTTGGCTCTGTAGTTTCTTTTGTCCTTTTCTTCTTCCTGCAGATGTCTAAAAAAATGATCTTGTTCTGAAACAATTTTTTCCTCGATATCTAAGGTTCTTATTTTGCTCTCTTAGGGATCTGCTGCAACATTTAATCCCACTTTCTCAAATTTTTACCATTTTTATTACACTAGAAAATTGACCTTAGCTCAAGTGCATGCACAATTTTCCATTATCTTCAAAATACCTTCCCTAGACTCAGCCTTTCTGTTATTCTACTACCTGATCTGCTTCCTGCAGTTATAGGTTAGGTGCAGATGGCATTCTGCCCTCCAGGGTTCTGCAGATAGAACACAATCACAGAGATCTGAGATAAATTGAATTCAAAGGGTCAATTTTATTTTCCAAAGTAAAGAGTTCTGGGCTAACTATGCTAGAGGTTGCCTTTTGAAGTATGGCCAAAAAAGGGAATGGATGATACTTCCCAGACTAGAATGGGACCCTGATGACCTTGCCTTATAGTTACTGGCAGGGAAAACCCAAGAGCAAAAGAGCAGAGCTCAGACTCTGTGCCAGAGGGGAACTGTGTGGGCCTGTTTAGCTTAAGGACCAGAAGCTCGAGTTGGCTCACTGTGCCTGAGCATGGTGAACCCAGAAAAGCTGTTCCAAACTCTGAGACACAGTAGTCCCCCACCTTGTTTTTCTTGTATCATGGGAATTGTCTTTCAGTCATAAAAATTAGAAAAAGGGGAAAAATGACCTCACATACTGGTGTTTGAATTTTACCAGTAGTCACTATCCTACCACTATTGTTGACTGGTCGTCACCATGCTACTTATACAGGAATGATATCAGACCTCCAGATGATACAGGGGAAATACTGCAACTCCCAACCTGTTAGATGTCAGATATGGCAAGTTCATGTTCTCTAAGATCAAAGAATGAATTCTAGGAAAAATGGAGGTTAGAGTAAGAAATATTTATTGAGAGGAGAAATTTTAGCTCCTGAGAGGCAAGAGGGGTCCTGAATGGGTGGCTGAGGACCCCACTTTTCAGGGGAAGTTTTATAAAGCATAACCACATGGGTACAACAGGGGTAAAGCTATGATCAACCAATAAGGTTACAAGTATAATCACTTAGGAAATAGTGATACAGTGGGCTCAAGTCACATAGCAAGTGTGCATGGAAAGGACAAAGAACTTTTAGGAAGGGGATGGGCCTGAGGGTTTTGGTCACCTGCTGAAGTGACTGCTGTCTATCTAGACTTCATTAGACCAGGTGTTACCACTTATCTCACCCCTGGGGAAGGATGTAACCCTGGTCATTCTGTCTTTATCTTGAGGCCTGGCCTCTAACTGAGGAGCCTCGGGTCACAGTTGTACTGCGTGTTTCTCTTTTGCACTGACTCTCTCCAAGGCCCAGACCTAGCTGAGTGCACATAGTATTTCTACCTAACTTAGCTTTCTATAATACTACCACTATTGTTTCATCTGTCTCTAAATTTTTTGCTAGAATGTTTAAAAGCAAATCCTAGCCAACACCTATAAATGTCACCTACAAATGCATCAACACTGATCTCCTTCAAAACAATGCAAATACAAAATAAAAAATTATTCCTTAACATTATTTCATACTAATCCACATTCCTTTTTTTTTTGCTGCCTCAAAAATACCTCAAAAATACCTCAAAAAAAACCAAATCAAGATCTAAACAAGCTCTATGCATTGCATTTGGTTGATATGTCCCTTAAAATTCTGTTAATCAATTATGTTCTCCTTCCTTTACTTAGTACTGTTTATTTAACAAAGAAGTCAAATAATTTGGGCTATAGAATTTTGCTCATTTCCATTGTGGATTTGGTTGTTTTCATTTAGTTGTTTATGATGTTCCTTCAACCCCCTACAGGTTATAATTTGGAAAGCAGACTTTAAGGGCGTATTATAAGCAGATCCTTATTTTCTCCTTCCCTCTTTCCTTCCCTGTCTCCTTTTCTCTCTCATTTCTTTTCTTCTTAGGGGAATTCTAATCCAACTCAGAATTTGTGCAGTATCTGACTGCCTTATGCTAAGCAATTGAGCAGGGGTTTCAGGATATATATCCTGATCATTATATCCTAAAGTTCCCCAACTTCCTTTGCCTGTGTAGTTTTATGTCTAGTTTTGTCAGTTGCTTATTGCTGTTTTGGTTCACTAGGTGATTTAAAAATTTTAAGATTCTTATGCTTTTATTAGTTATGTCTTTTCTACAAAGATCTCTGGCTGATCCAATATCTTTTTTTTTTTATGTAATATTTTTTGACCATAGTTGACCGCAGGTATGTAAAATTGCAGAAAGTAAAACTGGATTAAAGGCAGAGTAAAACTGAAGTCCTAAATAGAAATACTTGGTTCTGCTATCACTGACAACTCATACTTATAGTCCCTAGCAGAATACTGGTGAGTTTCTCTCTCAGAAAATACAAATATAGCAGTAACAAATACACAAATGCAACTTACATAGCACTAACAGTGTGCTGAGCTCTGTTTTAATTGCTTGCTTCATGAACCCAGGACATCTGGCTTCCCAGCCTGTGTGCAGAACCGCTGCACTAGACTTCTTTGTACCAAAGGAGAGGCCACTCCAGATGCCAGCAGCGGAGCCTGCAGGCTGCTCACCAATCAACCTTCCAAGCCAAGCCAGCTTCCTAGGACTCTCTTCAACGTGAGAGGATGGCCATGAAAAACTAGAATCTGACCTAAGCCAATGGTAGGAATCAGGGACTGCAAAACGAAAACAAGGGAAAAGGCAAAAAGAGTATTCTTGGAAATGAAAACCTGTAGAGAACATAAGAAAACTTCAAAACATCAGTCCCTCAGAAACATCCTTGAAACAGACCAGGAGGTTCTGAAGGAATGAATGTTTGAAGTACAAAAAAGAGCTTTTGGCTACAAAACCGTGAGCTTAAGGAGTTATTGCAAACGCCCTCCACTGTCTACAACCCTATACGTGCTTTGCATTGGGAAATGGAGAGGACTCTAGGAATTTCTGTTCATTTATCCTCTTTGATATTTAGAAGATGTCTTGGAGGCTGGCGCTATGATGGTAGTTATTTCCATACTTCAGGTGAAACAGACTTTGATTTTTATTATTTTGCATGCATTTCAGAGGGTGTGTGTGTGTGTGTGTGTGTGCATGTGTGTGTGTGTTTGAGACAGCATCTTTCTATGTAGTTCAAGCTGGCCTTGAACTCACTATGTACCCCAGGCTGGCCTCAGACTTGCAATAATTCTCCTGCCTGGGCCTCCCAAGTGCTGGGATTACAGGTGTGTGCCACCATGCCTGGGTCTCAGAAGTTTTTTTTTTTTTTTTTTTGGTACTGGGGATTGAACTCTGTTCCTCGTGCTTTCGAGGCAGGCGGTGGAACCACTGAGCTAAATCCCCGGCCCTCTCAGAGGTTTTTAAGGAATGATATTTTTAAAAAGTGCATTTAAACCACTAAGTTTCTTAGAGCTGGATCTATTTGCTTGTTCTTTCTCTGTGATCACATATTATGTAGTATATGAATATCCGTTGTATATAACAGTGTATAATTT